TAGTTAATTTGTAGAAAATAAACAGAAGCAAGTGAGCTAACTGGACATTGTGTCAAGAGATAAGGATTAATGGGACTAGCTCTTGACAGGGTCCATTGATGTTCATGTAAAGCTAGGAATTATGATTATAAGTGTCCCTAATTTCTAGGAAGGAAAATTCCTTTAGCAGTGCAGGCACACTAAGGTAACTTCTGGCCCCCAACTCACCCTAGTGCCCACATTAACATGGCATTGACTTGTAGATAAAGCCCCTGCTAAATAGGATGACCATCATGACAGTTCTGGAGAGAACCAACTAAGGTCAAAAAGTCCAATGCCTGACATGAAAGAGAAATTGAACACTCGATTGGCAGAGCATATAGAAGGTGGTCCCCAGTTCTCCTGGTAAACATCAAACAGTAATAAAACTGAGACAGCATTGTCTCCTTTCTCGTTTTCTGTTGGAGACAGCCCACTCTCTTCCTTGAGAGTGCTTTATTTCTTTTACTTTATTTTCACCTCACTTTCACTTCTAATAACGTTCTCTTGCATGATTTTTGGTTGGTGTCTGACTTTAAATCTTCTTTTTTTGGAACACAAGAACCAAGGTTTGGAGTTTCAGCTCCCTGCCTTCCTGTGACAATTGTATAGGACAGGTATTCACATTAGTTTCTTTATTAGAACATGAGAAAAATTCATTTCAAAGGAAGATGAAAATTTCCCTTAGTTGCATATCAAATGTGAACTCAAGTTTGAATTCAATAAAGACAAAATTATTTTTACTGCTTTATGTTCAGTGACTGTGAATTTTTCCAAATTACAAAATATTGTTTATATAGTATTGTTTCACTACTTAATGAATTATGAGTCTTTAGCACTGAGAAAAAAAAAACAGGTTTTTTTCCCATAAATTTTAAAAGTCTAGAAAAGTTTCCCTTTATTACAAAATTTGAAAAAAGCAATGTATACTTCTTTAGAAAATAAAACTTCATGTAATGTTGGTAAAACATTCATCAACAGAAAATAGGTGAAATAACAACAAAAATCCACTGGTTTCTTCATCAGCATTGTCTATTTTTAAATACGAAGACTGCAATGTAAGATAATATTTTATTTATGTATGAAAAATTTAAAAAATTATAAGAAATTCATATGTTTGAATTTATTTTGTTTGCATTAAGAAAAATAGAATATGTGTGCCTAAACAAATAAAAGTAACTAACATATTTGTAAGCTGAAGTCCAATCTCCAAATAAATCGAGAAGGGTAGAAATAGAGTTTACTCAAAGGCATGTTCTTATTCTCATGTTAATAGTAACAAGCCCTCAGATTTACAATGGCTGATGTTTGAATCTAATCTGCCAGTACCTTTCAGTGTACGCTTCTCTTTGATGTCAAGTTAATTTCTTTATGGTAGGAAGAACAGAAAAATAGAGCAGATTTCCCAGGGCAGTACTGAGATTAATAAAAGAAAAAAAAAAAAAAAGAAAAGGCAAAAATATACAACATAAGGAAACTAAGTCTAAGTAGGAAGTGGATAGCCATGGCATTTATCTCTTTCTCATTAAAAAGAAAAATGGCTAATTTTTTAAGATGAACATTCTCATCAGAAATGCATTTTTCATTACCTTTTAAGGTCTGGTAATGTTATAAATTGGACTGGAGAGGACGCATGAAGTCTCACAGAGAGAAACTGTCGCAATGATTACCACTCTCCTCAGTGGAACCCCGTTGCTATTGAAGGATATTCTTTTCTTTTCTCAGTGCTGTAGATTTTTTCCTAGCTGATGGATTAATGGGAGGAAATTGTGAAGGATGTGACACTAATAATTCGGGACACCAAAAAAAAAAAAATCATCATAATACTCGTTGCTGTTCAAGTCTGTTTTTGCTCACCTCGTCTTAAATTACAACCAATCTATGATTTACAGGCATTTCTCTTTCATCTAGAGAGCCATCTGGATCAAAACAGTAATATAGCTTTGTTGACAAATGCCACAAAGCCGACTTTATTCTCAGGGACCATCTTGAATTTCTGCTTAGTCACAGCAGATCGCAAAGGAACATGATGAAAATCTCAGAATGATCTTAATCGTGAGCTGCCTATCCTGGCCAAATTGGTTTTTCAAAGGTATTAGCTAACATATCACAGGACACCAGGATCATGTAACGTTGGCCAGTGCTCCCAATAGAGGACATCATTCACGAAGGAAGAAGTGTTCAGATCCACATGCCTAACCTGGAGGTCAAGAGTTTATTTTAGATAGTAAATATTTGGCAAATTCTAAAATCTAGAATGAAAAACAAATGGTTTCAAGGCAGTCGAAACAATAGTATTTTATTCCGCTTTGATATTATATAATCAAATACATCAAATATGTGTGTGTGTGTGTGTGTGTGTTTGAGAGAGAGAGAGAGAGAGAGAGAGAGAGAGAGAGAGAGAGAGAGAGAGAGGGAGGAAGGGGGGTGGGGAGTGGGGGTTGGGGGGAGAGACCCAGAAAACTGCCAGAATTCTAGGTCCCTTGAAGAGCCAAGAGCTTCTAACAGCTAAAATCAGGGGAGGAAGGAAATTGAAAGAGCTATTTTTTTTAAGTGACATTATTTGTTCCCAATTAATAGACACAGGGATATAAAAAGGGTCATGTGATTTAAGAAGTCCAAGCTTGGAGATTTGCTAAAATAATTGCCCAGCTTGGGAGCTTCATCGGCTCGTCACATCTCTCCCCTGTAGGAGCATTTTTATAGTATACTTTAAGAGACCACTGTGTAACCTTCACAGGCCAAACATCTACCCAGCAGCACATGATTAAACTCTCAAACATATATAAAAAGAGCCCTGCTGGATATTCTCCTTTCAACTGGCTGGTATTTTAGGCTTCACAATGTATTTTTTTTTTTTATAAAGGCTTACATTATGAGAGCGAGGCTGTATAACTGGGGGCCTAACAAGCAGTGGTTGAAATAAGTGAATATTGCAAACTGCATTTCTTACTGGAACTATTAAAGGCACCTCAGCAATTCAAAATTTAGAAATGTTTGTTGCAAATTCACATGTATTTCAAATTACTCACCTTGACCAAAATTATATGCTGAATTCAAGCCCCCAAAATGATGTTGTTGAGTATATTTTTATGATTTAAAGAGATGAAAGAGATGTACATAACTTATTATTATCATGATTATTAAGTGCTGGTGGGCATGTGTAGTAATGGTATAGTACTGACTCAGAATATAGGCTATAGTAGAGTGGTTAAAAACATAGATACTAGTCTGATTTTCTGGGTTTAAAATCCCAGTTTTTCCATTCTGACTTGCTAATGACCTGGAGCAAGGCATTTCACCTTTCTAAGCCTCTAGGTCTTCATCTGTAAAAATAATAATAATAATAGTAATATTTTTCTAATTGAGTGGAGGAAAAAACTTTGTAAAGCATTTCAGACACTACCTGGCAAGATACCAGTGCTTAACAATTATTCTGTTTTTTTTTTTAAAGAGAGAGTGAGAGAGGAGAGAGAGGGAGAGAGAATTTTTAATATTTATTTTTCAGTTCTCGGCGGACACAACATCTTTGTTGGTATGTGGTGCTGAGGATCGAACCCGGGCCGCACACATGCCAGGCGAGCACGCTACTGCTTGAGCCACATCCCCAGCCCCAACAATTATTCTGTTGTTTTGATGGCTTCATTGCTATCACCATTTTTTTGGACATTAATACATTAATATAATATAATATAATATAATATATATATATATAAAATATACATATATGTATGTGTGTGTGTGTGTGTGTGTGTGTGTGTGTGTGTGTAATATATAGGTTTTCTGTTTATTAGTGAGGGGATCTTCCAAAACCATGAAAAGCTTGAAATATATCAGTTTCTAGTAATCAGGGTTATGTTGCAAAGTGTTTTACAAGGACATCTTTTTTAAATTTGGAAGGCAATTGGAGTTTTAAGGAAATAAGTTTTCTGCTATCAGGCTGTCATGAGGGCAACGATTTCAGTGTGGTGTCAGGGAGACAAGATGGTCATAAGGATAAAGGGAGAGTTAAGAGTCAGCTGCTACAGGATCTTTAGATTCTCAGGTTATCAAGGGTTTTAGATTCAATATGTAAATCAAATTAAGTTTGAGAAAGGAAGCTTAAAGTTGATGCTTAGGCAAAATTTGTGGTTATGATGGTTTGTTATCTAAGTGTTCATCTTTAAGTCATTTTTGTTTTGTCCTGAAGGGTGTTTTTAAATACAGTTTTTATAATTAGTTAGAAATATAAGCAAATAGATTTCTGGGACTATTTTTGACCACACTTTTTTCACCAGTTAACAAATGACAAAAGATTAATCTAAAGATTAAACACTCAAGCTTCAAGAAATATAGAAGTATTTCCAGAAAAATAACTATATAATATTGGAGATGAGTAAGATTGATTACTAGAGAAATAAGCATACAGGCTTGAGGTAATTTATGCATATATATACATACACACACACACACACACATTCTTAGGAAATTTTTACCAAAATACATATAAATGACAAACTTCATCATTCATTTTATTTCGTTTATGTGTGTGTGTGTGTGTGTGTGTGTGTGTGTGTGTGTGTACCCTACTTAAAAGATAATATGGGGATCTCTAAATTTTGTTTTAATCTCTGGTTACTTTGATGTTTCAAAGAATCTTTAGGAATGTCAGAAATACATTAAAATGTTATATTTCTTTGTAATTCACATTATATATGTATAGCAGAATTCTGAATGAATGCATCAAAGTTTAGATAAAGTTGATTCATTTACAATTTGAATGAGGGGACAAACATGACAGTAGTCTCTGAACCATTGTTAAAAACTGTGGAGAGTATTTTGATTTTCCTGTTGGAGAAAAGAAATGAAAACTGAAAAACCTTTAAACCTCTAAAAATATAGAACTGAATCAATTAAATTGCCTCTTCTAGATTATACCTTTGGCTTGGATAACTTAAAACTGAAATTGTGATTCAAAAAATACAGATAATAAAGTCATTTACCTTTTATTTTTGCTGGTGCTCCCTTTTGTTTAAGTGCATTCAAATCTTGATGAGTTTTTAGGATGAGGAAACTTAGAAATATTTGGGAAATCAATATCAGCAGCACAAAGAATATATAACAGAGCCTTTGGAGTTTTTCAGAAGATGAAAACTTCTTAATTTTATAAATTTTTGAGAAGAATTTCCTGCCAAAATATAGAGAATAAGTTATTTTAATTAAGGTGTATTGTGTTTTTACAGTCAGTGAAAGGAGTGCTATATTTTTCTTTGGCAATCAGTGAAAATATAAAAAGTATGTGAAACATAACAAAAATTGCAGAATATAATACATTGATATTAAAATATCCATGATTTGAAATTAGATGATAATATATAACTGAGATGGTGCAATAATTTTGTTTTTATACATTGTTTAATAATGATATTTAAGAGAAACCAATGGTTTTAATTAATGTTTCCAAAATTAGAACAACAGACAGTTATAATATAGTTTTCTTGGTTTTGCTCACAGAAAGAAATTCTCTGACCATTGTCATATGAAATTCAACTGAGACTTTGATCTATGAAGTCCAGGAGTTCCATATCTTCCCTCCCTCCTTCCCTCCCTCCCTCCCTTCCTCCCTCCCTCCCTTTCTTCCTTCCTTCCTTCTTTCCTTCCTTCCTTCCTTCCTTCCTTCCTTCCATCCATTGATTAATCCTCCCTAATTTCCATGTGCTTATACTTTAAAATAATTGCCTATTAATAAAAAGCATCTTAGTGGGACTTTTCTCCTTCTTTGAATTTTCTACCTGAAACACAGTACTAAGCAATTTTAACTTATCTTATAGCCATTGATATACTTAGAGGCTATTGCACAAGAGACTGTCTGGTTGTGAATTGCTGGATGGATTGGTAGGATTAGAGTCTGGAAGATAGGATGACTATTATAATAGGCTATGCATGAGAGACTGGGGTCTGGGACAGATGAGCAGTAGTTTGCAAGGAAGAGATAATTTTGAAAGGGGGGAATCAAGAGATTCGTTAGTTGGATATTTGAGGAGATAGAACTACAGTTGTAGATTCAAGTGTCACTATCATGAGAAATAAATGATGGGAATACATACAATAGAAAGAAAGAGTAAAATATTAAAGAGAGGAAGTGATGGTAGTACATGTAATTTGAGACAAATGAATTTTAACAAGAGACAGCAGATCATATCATAGGGGACCACCTCATTATTTCACTTAGCTGTTCATCTAACAAGAGGTCTTAGTGATGACCAGGGATGCTACACTGTCAAAGTTGAGGAAGCACACTGAACTAGACCATTTTAATTGTTTCAACCAAAATGCACAGGATAAGAGAAAGCATGGTAAATATGAGGGTAAAAGGTCGGTATGAGAAGGTAACACCTGGTTTTTGTCTTAACCAATTCTGGTTACACTTTTTAAGATAAAATGTGATTTTCTCCTTTTAACTCTGAATGTGCTTGTGTGTGTGTGTGTGTGTGTGTGTGTGTGTGTTCTTATTAAGCTTTGACTACATAAATGAAAATAGTGATCAAAACACTAAATATTTACTAAGACTAGGGGCTAAGCAAATCAGTAAAAAGCATACTTTTCACAATACCTTTTTTTTTGTGGAGGGTGTACCAGGGATTGAACTCATGGGCACTTGACCACTGAGCCACATTCCCAGCCCTATTTTGAATTTTATTTAGAGACAGGGTCTCACTGAGTTGCTTAGCGTCTAATTTTTGCTGAGGCTGGCTTTGAACTTCGCAATCTTCCTGCCTCAGCCTCCTGAGCCACTGGGTTACAAGCATGTTTCACTGCGCCCGGCTACAACAACTTTTAAGTGCAATAAAATTATTATTCCTATTTATGGAAGTTCAGAAAGATTAAGGAATTTATTCAGCTTCCTCAAAGTGGAAAGGAAAAAAAGCCGGAGACTAGATTCAAATACAGATAGTTTGGCTTCCAGAGTCTTAGTTCTTTGGAAAAAAATACAATAACTTCTTGTAAAAATCTGATATATTTTTGACATATTGTGTGAAGAGTAGAGGATTTTTAGAAATCCATAGTAGTAGCTTATCATAGCTTCTTTAATCAGTGTGGAGAGAGCATGTGGGGCCTAGATTTCTGGGAAAGAATTTCTCCTCCTTATCTAAAAGCACATATTGTGGAAGGATCAAATTATCATGTATTCATTAAGCAATCTCTCTCTTGCAATCATTCATTCATAGGGTATAATATTTCTTGTCGAATGATTTAGCACAAGGAAGTAAGTTTCTCCTTCATAATTTTTTCTCCTTTAGTTGATCCCTCAAACATGGATGGCCTTTTACTCCTTCTCTACATAGCAAAATTTCTATTCATTTGACAAGACTTAGGCCAAACTGGATTCCCTAATAATGGCAGGAAGTTAGTGGCTTTCTTTCAGAGATTATCTAGCAGTTTGCATAAACTTCTCATAACATATCACTTTGAGCAATCATATCTTGAAGGGAAGGATCATACACTTTTACATTCCCTACTACCTGACTAGAGTAGGAATGTATTAGAGACAGTTGAGCTGATGAATAAATGAAAAATAGATATATCTCAGAATATTATTATGAGCATTTTAAGCTTGAATTTAACAGTCCTTTGTTCTAAGGAGCACAAATGACTTTAGGAAGTCCTGAGGTACTATAGAGATTTAGGGAACAAAAGATTTCATTTATGTGCCAAATGAAACTGTTAAAGTAATTTTACTTGAAAGTCATAATGTGCACTGCCTGACTACATTTTTAAAAATATGACTGTTGATGGTGCTTTCTTCAATTTTTTCTTTCTGATTCTGAATCTATTCTTGATTGCCCTGAGTATCATCTTACTGTTCAAGTGAGTGTCCAATTATATTTAATTGCATCACTTTTCACAGTTAAAATTTCCACCATGACCAATTTTTCTGTGTTCCTGGATAGCTTTATGAGTAATCTATTATTTTTTTTAATTTCCAGTTCGAAATAGCGGCATGCTCAATTTGCTTCTTATGTTTGTCTAAATATATGTCTGTGGCTATCAATTGCCTTTATCCATTCTAGCAAAATTGTCCAATTCACTTTAATTATAAATTTGTTATGTTTTTGCTTAGACCAAGCACACAATAAGATTCAACAGTTTCCTCTGCAATAACAATTATATTTCTCAGATGGCAAGTTATTGTGCCAGAATAATCAAAGGACCTGAGATAGTTAGCCAAGGGGGATAATGGATGCAAATTGAGGGTTTATTTGGCACAAAAAGTGATGTGATTGTCACTTTTTTTTGAATCTTGACGAGAATACATTTTATATACTACCAGACAGAAAAGATGAAAAGGACCATTTTCTGTACCATCCTATTTTAAATAATGTATTCAGTCTTATTACCGTAACTTTAGTAAAACGAGTTTCTCTGAGTGAAGTTAGGTATGCTTTCATTTACAGAGTAGACAGAAAACCCAGTTCTGTACCTTTTAAATATGGATTGAAATAGCCTTGCTTAGCAATGGAATTCCAGACAAGCATTAGCATATGAGGTGGATACAAAAGTTTAATCCAGTGTCTCTGAATTTAGGGTCTCTTACCTGAAAGGGAGATGCCTGACCATAAAAATATAACTGCAGTTTAAGCAATTTGTTAGAGGGTTACCACTGGCACATACCTTTTAATTTTCCCCAAGTATACCGATCTCCTACCAAGAGACAATAATTTATAACCAATCATTTCAAAAAGCATTTCCTAATCCCAACTAAATGCCCAACACTACGGCAGTCTAGAAGTCCTAGCAGTGCATAAGGTTGGTCTAGAAAGCCACTGGGCAGCTTACTGTCTGGAAGGAATCATGGTTACCACACAATTAATATAAGAAGTGTGCCTGCCATAGGAGACATTCAGGGAGCAAATGAAGGCCATTTAGTCACCTGCCCAGGATAAATAGAAGGGGCCAACTCAGGTTTTGAATATCTGCCACCAACATCTCCAAGTGAGTATGAGCAAATAAACTCCTAATCTACCTCCTATAGTCAGTAAATGTACAGAGCAGGTTTCAATACTCACAGTGAAGAGACTCAAAGATCATTTCCTAGTTTTAATATTTTTTAGTAAATAGCACTTCCTGAGCTTCAATTTTTGTGAAATAGAATATATTCTGTATAGGACATTGTGCTTAATAAATGATGGTTATTGATTTTGTGCTCAATAAATGATGATTATTGATTTTGTGAACTTTCCAACAATGCAGGATAAAAGTAAAAATGTGGAATTTCCTAAAAAAACTTTTGTCTAGTTTTTTCCTACTTGAGTTCAGTTCAATATAGTTTCTATATTTCAAATCCATGTTTAACAAGTCATAGAAAGCTGAGAACAGCCTAAAGGGAACTATTGATTATGATGCCTGCCTGCCTTCTTTCCTTCCTTCCTTCTTTCCTTCCCCCAACTCTTTTAGCACTTGAAGTGCATTTTGTTTGTTTTTATGGTATCAAGGATTAAATCCACTGAGACACATCCCCAGCACAGGATTTCACTAAATTGCTTAAGGTCTCACTAAGTTGTTGAGGTTGATCTTGAACTTGTGATCCTCCTGCCTCAGCCTCCATAGTCTCTGGTATTATAGGTGTGAACCACTGTGCCTGGCTACAGTGCATTTTACTTGTTAAAATTATGCTTCCATCTTCTCTGGTAGAAAGGGAAATAGTCAGGAAGCAAAGAAGAAAAGAAGTTTTCAAGTTTCCAGAATAGATAAGCACAAACTAATTTTAATAAACATAGTTTGTGCTTATCTATTCTGGAATCTGAAAAAAGTTAAGTGTGCCAAATAGCAACTTTTCTAGTAGTCCGTCAGGATGCCAATGCATGAGCAGAAACAGCATCAAATAAAACAAAACCAGATAAACTGAGACTGGAGAAAACCAAATCCCAATGCAGCTTATCTTTATGCTTTTAGTAATATTTGCAGAACCACTAGTCACAGCTGAATATTTGGTCTATCGGTAAAGGCAAAAGTTTTAATCTAGAATTTATATATTTAAATCATTTCACATAAATGACATTCTTTTGAATTCAGTCTTCACTGAATATGTCTTATTAGCGAATGAATATGTTAATTTTGAGCACAAAGGACTTAAAATTCTACTAATATGAGCAATTCCTTTAAAGTGTTTTCTATACTTTTGAAAAAGACCATTTCTTCATGCATGTATGATTCTGTCGAAATGAACCCAACTTCTATGTCTGACTACAATGCTTTCATAAAAAATAGCTAAATAAAAGAGACCATTTCTTTTCATGAGGTAGAATATATTAGTATTTTAATTATTTTATTTTTTACATTTTTCTTCTCTTTAATGGAATTTTTAGATGACTATATAGTGTAGCACTTAAAAAATTCTTTCACCCATGAACTCTTTCTCAATTTTCTGTGCCCAGTAGAAAGGGATTTGGAGTGTGTCACCAGGAAAAGAGGGATTATTAAATGACATTTTCCATTGTTAGAGTTCTGAGTGATTTAGAGATATTGAATTTTGTGGGTTCAATTTTAATCTGTTTTATAAGAAACTGTCACTTTATACCATGTGAAAAATATACTCCCTCAATTGGGATACAAAACACAAAAATCCTTCTTTTAACCTTTCAATATATCATCTAGGATAAAACAAAAGCCTTGTCTTTACTTTCCATATTGTACAGATTCTTTTTTCCCCATAATTTTCCCCAGATTAATTATCATGTCTCTAAATCACTGGCTGTCCTCACATTTAACATGCCTTTTTAAATGTTTATGTCAGGAAAACAAAGCCTTTGATATCTGTGTTAAAAAACTAATCTTTGTTTAGGATACATAAGAAGTTATGATTTTCAAATAAAATAATTTATTTTTTAAACATCAAGATTCATCCAGAGTTGATTACCCAGGTGCATTCTGAAAATTCCTTAGGATTACAATTGTACCTACTTCTAGTCCCTTTGATAGTGAAGTCTAAATGCAAATAGACATTGAAAGTTAATGTCATCACATAGAAGAAGTAGGCAATTTACCAAAGGCACATACAACTGTTTCCTATAAATATAGACATGCAAAGTATTTGCAGCCTTCACATTATATAAATTACTAAGAGCAAAGCAAATAGTTTATGAAGGCATTATATTCTACCCAATCAGTGTCTTGTTTTCATTGTTGTCTGCAATTTTTTAATCTAAATGTTTTTCCCCCTGTAGGATTATCCTTTCTGGAGTCAAATTAAAGACTCTGAAACTGTTTCTCATTATTGTTTGCTACTTGGAGCTGTTTCCTCAAAGGATTGTAATCAGTTTGCTTTTACAGAATACGTTATGTTTGAAAGAGAGTGACAGGTAGAAAATTAAAATAAAATGATTGTAAAATGGAAGTATGTAAAGTAGCTTGAAAATTTGTCTTATCATATTTGGTCAATTAGTCTGAAACCAGCTGTAATGTTAGAAATGTCAGATCTATATGTGTACCAAAAGTTGTTCAATTTTATTCCATCCATATGCTTGTGATTTAGAAAAAAAATAGAAAATACTTGTAGACAAATATTCCAAATGACCTTACTTATAACTGATCAATATTAGATAACAACCACATGGCTTTTTACCTTTTTTTTTAATGCTTGCCTTTAAATGTACATATATAGAGTAACCATAGATGGAGTCTGAGATGTCAGGTCAATTATAAACATGCCTTTGTTATACTGATGCTTTCTGTTTAGAGATAGGTAATCTGATAAAAATCTGTACGTTTAAATTAACACTTTAAAATTATTAAAGTCACTGAATAATTGCAAATGATAATAAAAATACCTCAATTGTCTAATATTCCAATATTTAGATAAAATATTTTCCTGTCTTGCATATAGTACTTTTGCACATCTATAGATAGAATTTCTGTGTGTTCATTTCTGGTATGTTCACATATGCACACAGCTATAAATTTGGCAGTCCATTTTGAATAAAATTATTCTACCCACATTTCATAAAACTTACCCCTTTTGAGTTTGATGCAGCAATGAAAGTTTACTTTTGTCAAACTCCTCCAGGTCAGAGTCATTGTTTAAGAGAATGTATTTTTCCTGGTTATTTGTTTCTGTCATTTTCATTTCTGAAAGTCTTGGTTCAATAATCGCCGAATGTCTGTGTCAATCCTAGGGCAATTTTAAAGCTAGGAGTATAAATTCCATTTGTATCCTCTCAAAACAGTTAGGAGAAAACTTTGGGACAGACAGCTCTTTAGTCTGTAGCTCTCTAACTTAAGAGGGTGAGCCCACAGCCTGAGCTGAGAGGCCTGTGAGGCTGTTTTTGCCAAATACTTGGTCCTCCCACTTTCACAGCAGGTAGGATTTCAGTCTTACCTTTATTGGACTAGATGTGGGAATGAAAAGGAGAGAACAAGTCTAGCAAGATAAAGAACTCACAGGAGGGGAAGTTGAAAACCAGTATCTACAAATATTCAATACCCTTTTTAGTAAATTTTTATCTAAAATTTTACTTCATCTGAAATTATTATTAAAACAATAAAAAGACTTTTTTAAAGGGAGGAAAAGTCACAGTGGCATATTGAAATTACATACCCTACCAGACACATTAAATTCTTTGGCAAAATACTGAATAGATTTTTTCTCACTCCTTAGGTTTCTGGCAACCCCAGGTTCTGTGATGACTTTTATTCAAATCAGATTGAAAATTCTGTCATATAGCATTTTCACAGTATTTACTGTGATATCTAACCATGCCAATAAAGAATTAGTACATTTATGTTGGATATAAAGCTCAGTCATGATAATCAAGAGGATCAAAAAATTAGAATATTACTTCTATGTGGACAATCTTCTTCTTAATCTGTTGGTTCTGTTTGTTAGAGAAAGCGTGGTTACTTGAACATGCAATTGCTGCCTTTTTCACCTTGGAGAAGTGGTTTGAGGCCTGAGTGCACGCTGCACACAGCTGGGGTGAGTTTTAGACGTATCATTATCTGAACCCCAGTCCAGATGAATTAAATCCAGATGAGAACCTTTGAACGTTTTTGATTGTCAGACTCACAAGTCTACTCTTATTAGTTTAGATAAAGGATTTTAGATATGAAGAAGTTTGGCTCCAGGCTTTTACCCTTTTTTGGGAATGTAAGCTGCCCGCAGTGACCACATGATTTTTGAATGGTGTCCCTTGATCATGGAATGAGTATGTTCTCCGTGTGGGAGAAGGCATAAATGAGCCATCTGGTGACCACAGGGTTGATTGTGGCAGAGACTGACTAGCTGTTCACCAAACTATTTCTGTCTTTTTCTTCTGGGCACACAGACAGCTGATATAAGGTTATGTTTGGCCACAGGACTGAGTTCCCACAAATGTATGGTGACAGGAGGGAACTGAAACTTTAAATTCTAAAGCATCAAAGCATTTTCTTTATGTACTCATTTACTCACTTGAGAACTCAGAGTTGGAAAACGTAAGAAGCCTAAGTCTGCAAATTGTCATATGGAAGACACCTCCTAGGAAGGCCATTTCACCAAAAGCACTTACACAGGGCCATTGTGTGAGCAGAAAGTGAATTTTTACCATGATAAGTCATTGGAATTGGAAGAATTCTTATTTTAACAATTAATCTACCTTCACTAACATAGGGAAGAAAGTGTAAGAGTATTAGTTCAATAACCAGGTCTCAGGATAAGAAAAATCCAGGCTTGATGCAAGAATCACAGCGGTACCAGTTTACTGATCTTCCATCAAAAGCACAACTTCTAATCAGACTCCAATAGGTACCAGCATCTATGTTACTTCATTCTCAACTTCTGTTTCCTTGAAATAAGAATTTGAATGGCTCAAAGCTGACCAGATATCCAACTCCACATCAGTTAGCTGTGGCCAGTGAAAAATAGTCCACCTTGAGGAAGACAGAGGATGTCTCCGTAAGAATGTTTCATGGGCTGGGGCTCTCCTTTCCCTACCCAGGTAATTTTTTATTCTGTTATATTTCAATTATTATTGTTATTGTTTCTACAGTACTTTTGCATAAATCCCCTCAAAGCCTATATGAAGTTAGTAGAGCAAAACTAAATAAATGTATAAATAATAAATAGATCAAGGATTCTATTTTTTTTTCACTTGTTTTAAGTTAGCAGTGGCATTTATTTCTCCACAGGCCTTTGGCATCATTCATATTCTTCAAACTCTTCAAAGGTTTCTAACACAAGTTCACTGATCTCATTTACACATTTTCCCTATATCCTGAGATATAATTATCCTCCCACCATGAGAATTTAATTCATTTACAACATCCCAGGTATTCTTTTACAATCTCCTCTTTCATATTAGGTTTTATTTCCTTCTTACCATGCTAAAGATCATTCTCCTTGAAAGAGAAGATAGAAACATGATGACAGAGAAAATGTGCCTCTTGTTGTCCATCAATAGCATATCACAGGTTGCTGAAAACTAGCCTTTGCATTTCATCATCTTTATTCACTTGCATTTAGCCCCCAAAAGGGGACATTGTTGTTCAGAACAATTTTTTAAAGCCTAAACGTATTAGGAGTTTGGATGCATGGATATTGATCTTATTGGTGTGACACCTTCTTATTGATCTTAAAAAAATTTTTTTCTCCATCGTTTGTATTTGAATTTAAAGGCTTGAGTTCATCAGAGTACATGTATATATTTTTCAAGTATTCTGTAAGTATTTTACTCTATCTTTCTCAATGGAATCATTTATGATTGAAAAGATAAAGATTGTATTTCTGAGAATCCCTAAGCTACCTACTATGACAGAATCTCATACCATAAAATTGATACTATCTCTTTCCTAAATGTTTGGATTTCTGCCTTCAAGGATACATGTCTTCATTTTCTCAGTTATTATAAACTCTAAAACAAAGTGTTTTCTTTCTCCTTGTTTCATTTTTGAAATAAGAAGGAATAGTGCTACCTGAGGAAGGCGATTGACGATCACATTTCAGGGTTTTGTCTTTAGATTTTCTGTCTTGGAAATATAATTGCTAATTCATGCAGAGTCACTAGCCTAACTGCAAAACTAGCCAAGAGTGTAGCAAAACAAAACATAAAATCCAGAATAACAATTTATGAATTCATGATTCATGAACAAATATCAATCAGAACATGGAAATATTTGCATTAAATGATGGGCTTTTTTTTTCTCTGAAGTCCAATGTACATGAAAAGTCAAATTTCTATCTAAAATCATGTAATTGGGGAGATGAAAATAAGTTGGGTGATTTTTTTAAACCTTTATTTTATTTATTTATTTTTATGTGGTACTAAGGATGGAACCCACCACCTCACACATACTAGGCAAGTGCTTCACCGCTGAACCATAACCTCAGCCCCAAGTTGGATGATATTAATCATTAGACTTATCATTTAATAAAAGCCTATCACCTTACAAAGAGAAAAAATCTAAATGTGGAATGTTTCTCCCACTACTATTTAGGATCTCCCAAAGTCTTTGGATGTGTTTGGGGTATTTTTTTAGTTTTATGATCATATTATACTTTTTAAAAAATTTTTATTTGTTCTTTTTAGTTATACATGACAGTGAGTGTATTTTGACATATTATACATACATAGAGTATAACTTTCCATTCTGTAGTTGTACAAGATGTTGAGTTTCACTGGGAGTGCATTTACATATGAATTTAAGAAAGTTATGCCCAATTCATTCTACTGTCATTCCTATTCCGACCCCCTACCCCTCTCTTCATTCCCCTTTGTATGGTCATATTACACTTCTATATTTTTATTTATTAACTGTAAAACGAATTTAAAAGACTCAGCTGTGTTTATGAGAATTATTCACAGTTGAAAAGAGTTTTAAATTCTCAACTCAATGATCTAAATTTGTATAAACATAACAGACACCTGCTTTGAAGAGACTTGAAGACAAAATTTTTAAGGGTCACTGAGAATAATTCTCCGTGTGATAAGTCCCCTGGCCTACTCCATTCTGAAACTCCCTGCTATTTTTCGGATCACTGCCTGGATAATGTCATTTAAAAGTATGGTTCTCCCAGTTTTATGATTCCATTTCGAATCAATTTTCTAATTAGATATCCTAGATCATTGATTAGATAAAAGTTGTGTTTATAAGCCATTCGTTTTGTATTAAAAATATTTTTGAAGTTTTTTCTGCTGGGTAGTCAGTCACAAGTTGCCTGCAAAGGTTAGCTTTTAATTTGAATGTGAAGTTTCAGAAAGCTTTGCTCAGAAATCCCTAACTGTTCAGAAATGTTAAAATATTTCTTTATAGGCCCCACACTTCTTAAGGCAATTCACCTATCTCTGCTTTAAGCATTTGTGTGTTGGTTTAATTCTCAAAAAATAATGTCATGCTGCTATTTTCAAATTCTCTGGCTCCATCCACCCTAATTCCTATGAATTTCATTTCAACACACATTAATCCTTATTGGCCTGGAGTAGTTGTATCCCCTTCCTTCAAGATTAGTTTTTCATAGAGGCATATTAAAATTTTTTAGAGACTATGCTTTATCAGCTAAATAAGTAACTAGAATTTTTCAGACAGTGGAAATTGCCAATGGCTTCTTTACTTTCATGCCAGGAGTGGATAAGATGATCTGGGATACTTGCACAGTAATATTACTTCCATTTCTCTTTCTACTTATGCTGGACCATATGTTTATAAGTCAATTTGCATAGGTCCAAAAGATTCACAAAATTTTATGCAGGTGAATGTCTTCTTGAGATATTGTTTTCCTCTCTAAAAATGGCATGAAAATTTATTGGTCCAATTCCAAATTTATCTCCACTCAAATGAGTCTTAGTGAAGTTTAAAAGATCTTATTTACCACTGTAAATCTCCACTTACTACTTCAACTCTTCTTTAGCATCACCTGACAAAACTACCATGTTTTTCTGGTGAGATCCATTTCCTATTTTCTACTATGACTTTGTCAAACAAAATTTAATTTTCCTCTAAACTCTCCTGTCTGCCTTCACATTACAGGAAATCAAAGATTTAATGGGTGAATAATCTTAACTTAGGGAGGAAAATAAAACTACCTCTCTCTATAATTACCCTTATTTCTTTCCCCTTTTATATGATGTTTAGTCATTCATTATGTGTCAAGGCACCAGATGCTGCCTACTAGTCAGGGAGAAACACAAGTACATCATTAAGTCCCACATAATATGATAAATACTCTTATAGAGATATGAGTGGGTTTGGGGTACTAACACAATGGTGTCCATAATGCATGAGCAAAGCCAAAAAAATAAATAAATAAAGGTTAATGTCGACAGTAGATTTGGAAT